CCGTTCAAAGATATTTGAAGACTACTGAGCCCCACGAGGACAGGATCCCCGCGCAAGCTAACCGCGAACGAAGAGAGGAGAATGCTATTGTAAGAACTAATCCGGACAAAACCTTGTCGTGGCACAAAATTCGATCGGAGTTGGTTTTCTCGGTGTCCAAAACTACTGAATGGAGAGCTGTGAAAAAGAGCAGTAGTATTGTCAGGGCAGCAGTGAAGAGTACACCGAGGCTTACCGACCTCCAGAGTAAGGCACGACTTGAATTTGCGAAGTTGAATTTGGGATGAGATTGGACGAAAGTCAGCCTGTATTACCGATTAGCCATGCAGTCCAATATTCTCGTCCAATACGTTTATTTCAATGAAAAGGAAGTTAATTTGGAAGGCCTCGATGGTTACAACTACTAACGGCATGTCTTACGAAAAGAGCAGTTCAACTCTGGTCGTCGCAATTTTGGAAGAGGAAGTATAATGGTAACTGGTGCCATCTGCAAAGATGTCGGGCTGGAGCTTGCTTTCGTGACCTCCAAATGGACTCCGAGGAATTTCAGGAAGTCTTACATTGGCGCCATTTATGAGCCGGTGACGTGCCCCTAACTACGTTTTCCAACAGGACAGTGCTGCGATCCATTGTCATTAAAGTCATTCGTTAGTCTAGTGCTTAAAACTTACCTGCTCGGCTGCTTTTCCCGCAGACACCGAATTTGAGGGTGATCTTATACTTATGAACGTACTGTACAATTTTAGGTGACTTAGCAAAAATTATCCCAGCCTGGTTGGGAATAAATGCTTCATCCACCATATAGACCTGATTTCACGACATCCGATTTCCACTGTTTCCGATCGTTGCAGGTGTCCTTCAGTGAAAAGCACTAATTATGAACACATCTTAGCCGATGTGGCCCCGTTTTTTGGTCGAAAAACCAGAAGTTAGTGACAAGCTATCCAGTTACCCTAGAGAAGGCAAAAGATAACTGGTATATATCGTTGATTAAGGATTGTTCAGGAGACGGAAAAAATGTTCTGTGCAAGCTAATAAATCGAAATTACTCCCCGAACGATTCAACAGCTTAAAGCTATCAACCGCGCAGATTTGTCGAGTGAATCGGCTTATACTTCGAACAGCCGCTCCTTGTTTGAGAAATTTAAGCTGGTTGCAGATGAACATTGATAGGTTTCCATAACATGAGTCCTTCAAACCATTCTTAGAAAAAACTTTACGGTGATAAAGAGCTACACAGACCTTATATTTTCTGAGAGTTCGAAGAGTACGCCCGACTCATACCACAAGTGACATTGAAGCGACTAAGATTTCTTCACACCTCAAGTGGTTACATAAACGATGTCCAGAAAGCGATAAATGTCTGTATTGCATAGTATTTCAGGAGTGTTCGTCATTAAAAAAATGGAAAAAGAAATGAGCATACATTTTAAATGTTCAACTTTTTGCAGATAGGATCCACTTTTTTGAATGAACTAAGTAACAGTTGCTGATGCATGGCAAACTAATCATTCAGATCCTCTACGAATGGTACTTTTATTGGAAGTTCCGATGAAAACGGAGGGATTCCCATCGAAACTTCCAACAAAAGCACCATTTACAATAACGTGCAAGGATTTCCATAAGCGAGCATACACGAGCGTGAAAAAAGTAACAAGTGTCTACTGCTTTCATCTAACCAGGGAGGGATCTAAAGTCGAAGTAGCCGTCTGAAATGTGACCTATACCGCAAGGCGTATTTTCGGATGCTGATCTCAAATCTGCTTTTCAAATTTGCCAAGCGATCCTCTGAATTATGAAGTTATGAGGTGATTTTAGGATGACCTAACATAAGCGAACTTAAATAATTACGTGGATGTGACAGGTCTACCAGTGGCGGATTGGAATAGTGGCAAGGGTGACGCTTCATGGTCGAGAGACTATGGTTCGTATTTTGTGGGGCGGGAGGGGGGGGGGGGGGGGGGGGGGGGAGGAGAGAATTTTGCATTGTTTTGAATTGTTTCTTTGCACCCTAGAAATTCCTTTAATAACAACGTTCCAATATCGCTTAAATTTTCTTGCATGTAGGGGAAAACAGACTTGTGTAGACGTGTCAAAATGGGCGAGGTGAGTTTCGACGTGTCATGGAGTCGTGAACATTAAATTGTATGTGCTGAGACTAATAGTTCACTTACCGTGTATCAGAGACACGATTAGGAAATTGCATGTTGATTGCCGACCAAAGTGAGAAGTACTAGTAGGAGGAGGGATTACACTTCAGGACAATCAATAAGCCAGATGATGTAGCCTTGCACCCTAGAAATTCCTTTGATATTGATTTTAGCGCGTTTCACGACCTTTTTATAGTTGTGGCGACAACGTTCTTAACCAAACCATGCAATATCGCTTCAATTTTTTTGCAGTAGGAGAAAACAGTTTTGTGTAGGCGTGCCAAAATGGGCGAGGTGAGTGCTTAAAAGCAAGCGACGTATCATGGATAAGAGATAAAGTCCCAAATCTCACAGCATTGAAATAAAAGTAGGCATGTGCGAGTTTGGAAGGCAAATTTGAGATCAGCATCCGAAAATATGCTAGCAGTACAGGCCCCACTTCAAAGGGTCACTTCGACTTGCGATCCTTCCCTGGTGAATATAGGCCACTTTATTAGTCAACTCACAATTTCACCAACAAAGGAAGCTGCACATGTTCCACACTCTCAAGTTCCTCAGTTCTTGGCTGCGTACCATGATTGAATGAATAAACTATGAACAATGTTCACGTTTTTGTCAACTTCGAGTAATTCAAAATAGTCGGAAGTAGGAAATGACCACATTTTCATACGCCAGGCCCTTTTTATAGATCCGAAATGTAACGAAATTCCTCTTGATCACAAAATCTCAATCACCAAAACAATAACCATAAGAAACCAAAGAACATACCAGGTTCCGGCCTGTGAAATTGTTGATCCTCCCGCTCGGAAGTGTTTATAAGCATAACTGTACCATCGTGATATTGAGACGGTAACTGAAAAGCATAGAACATGATAAGGAAACAATAGCGCCAGAGAATGAAGCCAACCATTCGTTTTTCATCTGTAAGCTTATTCGGAGGATTCGGATGATGATCATGCGGTTGTGGCGGCTCAGCACTCCACCTTCCTAAAAATATGATTATTTCGTGACCACCTATTGAACTACAGGCAGAGACGGTGTAGCAGCAAGTAGCGCACTCCAACAAGAAGCCAGCGGTGATCTCGGACTCCTACGTCAACAACAAGCACAACGTCATTGAAGAATCCCATCCTTCGCGTTTCCTTCTTATGTGCTTGCCTGTATTAACAGCAAACAAGGAAACCATTTTCGCTGATTCGCCGCGTTTTTTTTTTTGGTTTCTTTCATTAAGGAGCCAATACGTTCTGACATTGCAATCCGAATCCAATAAGCGGAAGTCAACACTAACTGGCTGAGACGGTAGAAATTGAGGAAAATATTCGAGATTTCGGCCGCCATAACCAGTGCAAAATCAAAATCTATGAACTATGTTTGTGACATCGTGATAGATCAGTGCACATCCTAGGAAGCAACAGAAAATAGTCACCCTTTTCCTTTCCTGGCGCAGTTCAGTCCAATAATGCAAAATCGGGTGCGCCACTGTGTCATTGAACATGTGAAGAATCCAAGATTAAAAATCGTCGAAATCCTGACTTGGACTACGACTATCTTCTTGAAATATAAAGCAGAGCCAACGCACTTCTGAGATCGATTTCTTTCTCCGATTTCGTTCACTCGTCTCACTTTCCTATTTTTTTCGTATCGTTCACACTCTTATTAAACCCTATTAAGAACTGACGTATGATCAATGGATCTTATTTCTGCTGTGTAGAGGAAAAGCGCGTTCAAACTTTCAGAGTGGAGAGCAATGCTCCGCGCTCATAGATGAGCGCGGAGCATTGCTGGCCACTTGTTAACAACGTGACATTGTCCATTGGCATTAGGTGCAAGCCGCGTTCGTGCCCACGCTGCCTGACGGCCCTTGCGTTGGGGCATTTTGTGCTAGAATTAGAAACGCTCTATTCTGTTAATCAAACAATCTACAATTTCTTCACTTCCTACAGGATAAATTAGGATGTTTGGAAAGTTTGGTCTTACACAGTTCCTCCTGACACCTAGAAGCGAAGCAGCTATAATCAGGCCAACAGCTGACTCAAAGTGAGAGCTTGAATGGCTAGCAGGAGTTACCCGACGCAGAAATTGCGCTGTGCAGGAGCGCCTCGGTGGTAGTTGAAGCCCATGCGCCCTAATAACAATATAGCTGCGAAGGGCCGCGCCAAACCGCCAAATTCCGGGTGTGCGAATAAATTTTCGATCGCACCTAATCAAGCTTGCCTCGCACCTAGGCGCGAAGTGACTTTAGTTAGGTGCGAAGACCACGCTATAATTATGCTGCCCGCACTTCGCTCGAGTTAAAACTAGTCAAGTAAAGAGGATAATGACAGTTAAAAAAATGGAGTTTCTCTTAAAAAAAAATAAGTTTCTTGAAAAAAAAAATTCCAACATCAATTTCAACGGTTTCTAGAGCTCTATTTACACGTATAATAAATAGGTTCAATAGGTTTCATTTCAAGCTCCTGCAAATGGGTAAAACAGTTCACTTCTTTCTTCGATATTTTCGCTTATTTGCGATATCAAACAACCTTTACCATTGAATGCCATACGGCTCACCATGCTGGAATCCAGAAGGAGCCAGAACTTTGCAAAGGAATTACCAGCAGTAGAAAGGAAATATCTACTAGGAAATGGAAAGGTGTGATATTTCGAAAACTTTCCTCCTATTTCGACCGTATGTAATATTTCATATTTTCCTAAGTTTGATGAACTTCAACAGCAAGGAGCAAGTATAGAGGAAATAGAAGAAATTTGTATAAAGATGTCCAGATTCGTAACAAACATCTGAGTTTTTTTTTTACTTATAAATTCATATTACTGTTGAATTGAACCGTTTTCCCCCATATCACACAAACTTTATCCACAAAATGTATTGGATTCATTTATTATGCGTGTAAATAAAACTCCCAAAACCGTTGAAATTGATATTGGAACTTTTTTTTGAAAAGGAATATTTTTAATAGAATCTCTATTTTTTAAAACTGTCATTATCATCCTTAAATGACAAGTTTCAACTCGATTAGTAGCGAGTGCGGGCAGCGTAATTACTGCGGAGTCTTCGCACCTAATTAAGGTCACTTCGCGCCTAGGTGCGAGGAGAGCTTGATTAGGTGCGATCGAAAATTTATTCCCGTACCCCCAAATCCCAAGCCCTTCAAAATTTAGCACGAAATGCCGCAACGCAAAGGACATCAGCGGCGACGTGAACGCTAAGGCGGGCTGTGCAGCGTTGTCCACGGGTGGCCAGCAGCCTCCGCGCTTATCGCTGTACTCTGAAATCTGCGACGAGACAAGCGTAATAGGAGTGATTGGAGTAAGCAGGACGAGGCTAAGACACTGATGTATCAGAGCAAAACAATCTAAAAAGTATGCTATTTGTTGGTGAGTGCTTACATTCGTAAAATCAGAAAACATACTTTGAAGTTTTTGTGTATTACTGATTCCTTGAGAAGAGGTAGACAACGTTGGGAACTCTCCTTTGCCACTGTTCCCGTTATTCGTTGAACTTGGTGACTGTTTTGCCCAGGTAGGACGCAAGTCGAGAGCAGTAGTTGGGCATGAGGAATGTGGCTTTATCACTTCAGAAGGATCCGTCGACGTTTCATTTTTGTTCCATCCGGCACCTCCTCAAGAAATATCCTAAGCAGAAGGTAGCTTATCTTGAAAAAAAGAATATTCACCTTGCATTATTACGACAACGTTTTGGTCCTGACCGTTATTTTCGGACTTCAAAGAAGGAAGAGTAGCAGGTGGAGGCATTCTTCGCATAACACCGATGCTTTTTCCAACAGAGGTTAGCCCATACCTGCCTGCAACATTTACATGAATAGCCTGATGTTGTTTAACACTCGAGTTTACGAAAACCCAGTTGATGTTATCTACCATTATTCGCTGTGTGACTTTTTCATCTGCTTCTTTTGTGTTGCTAAATGAGGAGAAGTTCATGGCGGCTTTATTAGAGTGTATAAAAAGTTTTGAGAAAATTCAGTTTTTTTAATACAAATTAACTACAGCAATAAACTTAGATCAGTGGTCAGGAGAGTGGCTCTTCTTAGCCACAATATCTCTCCATCAACCGGACTGTGCACTGATGCCATTCGTCTAATATGAACAGAGGCGTGACGCGATTCATTCATCTACCGTCTAATTGACTTCTCGACAGTTGGTGAATTTTTTGATGTAGAGCAGGCCTATGGGATTCTGAAAGTATGACAGTCATATGGGATAAGTTCAGATGAATATGAGGGGATCGGGTAGCCAGGTTATTCCAAGTCTTTCCAGCTTTTCCATCGACGTCCTCGCGTGAGGTGGTCGAGTATTACTCATCGCAATCGAAAATTTAATGTTTTAATTTTGATTAAAATTTTAATTTTGTAATCGGTGAATTGGTGGCTCCAACACCATCTCTCGGTAACACAATACTCTTGCATTGACCGCAGTGCACTCTGGTACGATATCATAGTAAAACACCCGGTTGAGCAGAATGAGCTCATGTCTTTCTTGGCGTGAGCGCCTCGCTTTATAGCGCACTGTGGTCTTACGTCCACTGCGATTTCTCGTTTGGATTTTCATATGACATCTTCTTTATAACCTAAGCAATGATGAAGTCGATGGTTTGATGTCGCCATTCGCTCACAGTCGAGGAGCGTCTGCAAACACTGATTCGCAGTCGACACTCCTGCAGTCAAAGATGTGCGATATTTGCAAAGAGTCCTTCTTCGAAAGTGACTATTGTGTAGAAAGTCGTCGATCGTGAATTGGGGAGTAGAGATCGTTTTTCAAAGATCCTGCCACTTTGAACAGGATTGCTCTGACGGGAGGCCAGAACAGTGTCCGTATTTGAGAACAGTGTTCGCGTCAACGAATTCGACGAAGCAGATCTCTTCCCAGAGGAAGGGTTTGTGCACTTATGGTAGGTGACAAGAGTGATGCCAATCAGTCACCATACCTCGTTCCAATCCGGGGTATCGATACGATCAGTTTCGTAATGGAGAAGCAGGAGGCTCCGGTAGTCGTACCGACGGCACATCCTTCGGTCTACGATTACTTACTTCGAACGACCACGTCGAATACCGATTAGTTAGTTAGTTATTGGTCTACAAACAATGCCCTTTTCCCTGCTATGGAGTCTATAGCCCTTCTTCAGCACGTTTGCGAGCAACACGCTTTCAAATTTGAGGCTAAATTTTCTCAAAAGTTTTCGGACACCCCAGTATTTGCACAAGAGGAAGGATCCGACAAAACCTCGTATAGCCACTTTCGACGACGATCCCTTTCTACAATCATGCCGTCCAATCGTCCGAACGGCTCCATGGGCCGTCTGCGTGAAGCCCAGGATGTGGTATGGGAGAAGTACCTCAACGAACGGTTTGCGTTATTTGCGAAGGACGAGAACGTTCAAAAGACCTTTCTGTTTCGCCATGGTCAGATAAGTAACGGTGGAGCAGAGAATATGACGCTTCCAGTACCGAATCAGCAAAGTTGAATTGTTGACTGCAATGTTGAATTGTTAACTGGAGATCGTGTTTTCCGATTAGATAGAACGGATTCAAAGAGAAGGTGGATCTTCACCCCAGGATGGCACTTTAACAGGGGAAATAATCCCTCAGAACGCTCAATGAAGTAGCAGATGTTAAGGACCGTCGGTTGAAGGAGTGCACTTGAAGGGTTGTGGAAACATAGAAGCGAGCAATCAGTTATTGCGCACCTAAGTAGAAAGCATGTTTAAAACTGCGGAAACTTAAATTCTATCATACTGCTCCCATTTCGAAATTATGCATGTAAAAGGTAAGCAAAGAAAGAGGACACCAAGAAAACGAAGGTATTAGTTACTCAAAAAATAAGTTTGAGGAATTAACACCGAATAATCCTTACCATATATAAAGCGCTCTGTCTGTCTGTCTGTCTGTTTGTACGGAAATTCGATATAACCTGAAGAAACACCTGGAGAAGTCGGGTTAAGTTTGGAATGGGTTGAGCATAGGGTAAGTGCAACAGAGCACATGCGGCGGGGCATGCGCCGGGGCTGGGCGGGGTCATGGGCTAATTCTTCTAATTCGGTCTAATAACAGTCCAGATGCCGGGAAAAAACGTGCAACGATGAGGGATGGGTCAACAACTAAAATAAAGCAAGCTTACCGGCGGTGAGCGGAGCGTTCTCGCAGTGGGCGGTACTTTCCACATAGATTCATAACTCGATTCAATGAAGGCGCCGAGGCCAGGAAAATAATAAAAGGAGTGGGCAAGGCCTTATGCGTGCTGGACATCCGTAAATATAGCGAAGCCCCACCCACGATGGGCGGGGCGTGCGTGGATGTGAAAGCTGCTTTTCAAAAATGAGTGTAACTTCGTTCGGAAACGTTCTACAATGCGGGAAAAAGGGGGTTAGAGGTGATGGAACAAATGTGAACAAATTCTCGGAGTGTGTGGGGTTGGCACCAAAGTGGGCGGGGCTTGGATCAAAATTTCATAACTCTGTTCAGAAACGTTCTAGGACGCGGGAAAGTGGTAAGATGTAGTGGAACAAATGTAATCAAATCCCCGAAGTGGGCGGAGCTGGCACAGGAAAGCGGGGCTAGGACAAAAAATGCATCCCTTCGAAAACTTCCTAAAATTTGGAAAAAATGGTT